ACCTATAATATGTTCAAAGAGTAGTTTATTCCTTTTTATTGCTGATAAGTATTCCATTGTGTGATATATCATTATTTGTCTGTTCACCATTAGTGTATATTTGGGTTGTTTCCAGTTTTTTGTTTCGTTTTTTTTTTTTTTTTTTTTTTTTTTTTTTTATGGGGGTTTTCCTTTTTTTTTTTTTTTTTTTTTTTTTTTTTTTTTTTTTTTTGTACTGGGGATTGAACTCTTGTGCTTGCAAGGCAGGCCACTGAACTGCTGAGCTAAATCCCCCGCCCTGTTTCCAGTTCTTGACTGTTAAAAATAACATCACTGTGAACATTCAATGCAAGTGTTACAATGTCTTGTGTCAATACCTAGGAGTGAAAACTGCTTTTAGATGTAATATTTTGTTTCTCTGCTTTGGTAGAGAAGATAAAGCCTCTATTAAACCCGAAGTTTAATATTTTAGAACAAATTGCCACCTACTCATCTTTTATTTTTTAATCCATTCCCCCCAAAACTATTACCTTTCCCTTAACTGGACCTCTCCTAAAATAGTATTTCTTATTTAAAACTAGACTTCAGACAGGTGCATTGAGTCTTGGCTGTGATACACCCTCATTGCCCTTGGCCTACCTTGTTCTCAGTCTTATTGCTTCAGAGTCTGGTTTCATTTTTTTTTGTAACAGGAATCAAATTCAGGACTCACACTTGCCAGGCAAATGCCTGTTCCCCTGAGCTACATTGCTAGCAGTCTGTTTTCAATTCTTTCTGTACCACCTCCTTTCTCCTAAGGCTTAGGACTTCATACCTTTTAGGGTAAATACAGAAAAAGCTACAGTTGAAGGTTTAAGATTTGTGATGTCATGTATTAGAGATTTGTAGTTCAGCTATATGAACTTGTTGAGTTGACTGTGAAATAAGCTGTATTTTCTGACTCTTTCCTAGATGTTATAATTGCCTTTCCAGGAACACGGTAAATGTTAAATCAGAAGGCAGACTCCTTTCACATTCACACACGCTCACACACCCACACGCATACATGTGTGCATGCATACATGTATATGTTCTGTATTTCTTAAGTTTGGTATTTTACTTTTAAAAGAGGCTTGAAAGGTGTGAATTGGTCAAATTTCATTCACAGTGTGTTATTCTGACTCTTATTACAGTGCCATCTACCTGAAACATTTAGGGAATTGGGAGTTTAAATAAAGATCAGTAGGAGAAAATTGGAAAGAGATAGAGAGGTCTGGCAGTAGTAGTGATTCATAATTGATTATGGTATCTTTTCCAGGTGCTATGCAGTGAGGGTGTGCTTCTTTTTACTGATATTGCAGAGTTTTGTTTCCAGTTTTCCTATGTATGATACTGATCACTCATTAGGTCTGGTTATGTTTCTATTTTGCTGTCTAGCGTAACCAGAAATTAACTTAATGTGGAGAATTTGACAGAAACATTTGCTACTGTATCTGCAGTATTCCAGTGAAAAAATTGGTCTCTTTAGAGGCAGTGTAGTTTTGGGAAGGTTGCAATAGAATAATAACAAGACTTAGAGGAGGAGTCACATCTGGTCATCAGTAGGTTGTCATGTGTCATTTGACACTCATATTTGATGTTTTAAATCAGACCACTGTTTCTTGTCACTGACTGAACAGATAATCATAAAGTTTAGATTGCTTTTACTTTGGAATTTGAGTGTGGCTGTGAGCTATGCAGTCTAGTTTTGTTGTTAGGTACTCAGAATTCTTAGAATATCAAGTTCAAATATTCATCTTTCAAGTTTTTGTTTTGTTTTGTTTTGTGTGTGTGTGGTACTGGGGTTTGAACTTGGGCCTTTGTGCTTGCAAGGCAGGCAGCAGAACCACTGAGCCAAATCCCCAGCCTATCTTTCAAGTTTTAATTGTGAAATAATTTAAATTTATAGAAAGCTACAGTGATACAAATGATTTCTGTTGTCACTTAATAAATATTCACCTATTAATATTTTGGCCAATTTGTTGTCATTTTATGTCAGATTATTTTTTGAAACCATTAAACTTGCGTGTGCAATGCCACTTTATTACGCGATACTTTATTCAGCCTGTAGTTCCCAATAACAAGGACATGCTCTTGCATAATTAAGTACATTACAGTTAGTGAGTGAATTAAGAAAATCTAACATTGATATCTAATTGTCTTAATGCACAGTGCACATTAAGATTTCACTAGCTTCCCGGTCATGTTCGTTATAATTTCTTTCCAGATGAGTATCCAACTTACAGTTGTTCATTGCTTTTAGTTGTCACATCTCTTTATTGTTCTTTAATCAGAACATTTCCCTAGTTTTTGTTGTTAATGATGCTGACACTTTTGAAGACTGTGGAAGACCATTTATTTATAGAGTCTCCCTCAATTTGGATGCATCAGATGTTTTCGTGGCTAAAGTTAGAAAATGTGATTCTGGAGGGAATGTTAACATTTGTGATGTGTGCTTCTGAAGCATCACATCAAGAGGTGCATGTCCACTTGTCTCATTATCAGTGACACTAAATTTATCTCCTGGCCAATATACCTGCAAGGGTCTTCCACTTGCTATTTTTCTTTTCATAATAAAAAATATGTGGGGAAATATTGTAAGACTCAGTATATGTCAATCATAAAACTTTCATTCATAAAGAATCTTAGCATTGGCAGTTTTGCCTGAATCAATTATTACTGTGATGTTAATGATGGGGATTCTTAATGATAACTGGAAGAGGTAACCTGTTCACTTGCTGTGTGCTTCAGTACAGTGTTGAATGTTGAACTGGAATTTGTCTCCAGAGACTTCTGTACATTGTTTTAAGTACTCTTGTGCAACATGAAATAAGTGCTCTTTTTTCCTTCTTTAAAGCCCTTCAAAATATATTCCTTTTTGTCTTTTCTCCAGGCTGCTCACTTCTATTTTACATTTTTTCTTGGATGGCTTCACTCAATTTATAACTGTCCCTTTCGGTTCTTGATAACACTCATTTGTCAGTATCATACTTAACATATGATCTCCAACTGCAGATACTAATTCCAGATACAATTTGGTCTGTCAGTACAATAATAGATCACTGTTTCTCTATAATCTACCGGTACCACCAGATTTTGGAGGCAAATAGATCTGATCTTAACTCCCAGCTCTGCCATTTACTAGCTCTGTGTCCGTGAACAAAATACCTAATATCTCTGAATCTCAGTTCCATATCTGTAAAGGGTTGGTAATAATAGCATCTGTTTTTTGTTTTGTTTGGTACCAGGGATTGAACTCCAGACCTTGGTGCTTTGCAAGGTAGGCGCTGTGCTAAATCCCCTGCCCAATGACATCTGCTTTTAGGTGGAGTGAGGATTAAATGTGCCTGTAATATAAACCTCTTAAGTGAAAAATACTCTGATCAAGTTACAACTTTTTATGAGCTTTTGATTTTCTTAAATTATTTATGTATCTCTCTCCATATATATGTATATTCCAAATATAGTATAAGATTGTAAAGGAATATTTGTGTTGTTTTATAAACAAAACAGTCATCTTTTGTAGCATAGCACATGTGCAGTATTTGAGCACTAAATAACACTTTGATATTGGAGTGATTGGACATTTTTTTATGGTGTATTTAAACCATGTTGCTAATAAAATAGTACATTTACTATCTTCATGAAATTTTAAAGCTTTTCCTAAGACTTATATAGAAATTGAGGCCAATAAAGGTAATGTGTACCAATGCAAGTGTACATGTAGGGAGAAAGTAGTTACCTGGGTTTTCTAGGATATTTTTATATCCTAGAATATATATATAT